ATATATACAATTAGATTACATTGTGTAAAATAATGCTTGATTAATTAAAAAATATAATTTGTAAATATTTAAAAAGTACAGAAATCTAAATCCAATATACATTTTAGTTTATTAAGAACCTTATTGATTATTATTGTGTTAAAATGTAGGATTAGACTTTTAATGTTAAATATTTAACTTATTAAACAAATTTAAATTTACTGTTATTAATGTACTTTTAACTCAACTAATTTTATTAATTATAATTATCTAATTTCCTTTGAAAAATACTATATTAGAAAAACTAGTTCAATATATGACGATATTTAAAAAAAAAATATCTAACTAAGTAATAACTTTGATAATTTGAAATATTCAAAACAGTTTTGAAAATATATTTTTTAAATTTTAATATAGTATATATCATTGATTTTTTGTTCGTACTTTTCATAAACATTTCTATACAAACTTTTTGTGATATTAAATTTCTCACATATTATCTATGCCACGAGCAAAAAGTTTCTTCATAATAACTTATAATTAAAATTTAAAATAAAATAATATAATAGCTTAAAAATGTATATTCTAATTTTTAGTCGATAAATAACTAAAATAAATAACGACAGTTAATAATAACTTGTTTATTTGTTTTAAATATTTTATATTCTAAATTATGTTGAAAATTATTTATATATTTTAAAATTGTTAATTTATTAACTATTTCACCTAAAAAATTACCTATTTGCAGTTTGAACAATCCTTCAATAGCATAAATCCAATTTTATAACTTATTAGTTATTAGCAATTAGTAAAACTTACCAGAATGACTGAGAGTTTAAGAATAAAAATATATAAAACATTTAGTATTCTCAAATATGTGTTAAATTAAAAACAATTGGTAAGTTAATTTGTTCTTAATTTTTTTATTAAAGAAATCAACAATTTTTTAATAATAGAATTTTAAAAATCATTTAATTTTATTGAAATTCTACATTTAGATAGATACACACGAAAATTAAGTTTTTACTAATGTAGAGTATATGTGGAATATGTGCTCTACTTTTTTGAGTTATTGAAAACATTACTAGAGATAAACCGAATTAATAAAAATTAATTTAAACTATGTATATTTCATATTTATAGTTTGTATATAAAATAAACTAAATAGATGATAGAGAAAAAAAAATAACAAAAATTAGTGATTCAAATTTGAAATCGTGTTAAATTTTAACCTTATCTTTATATTTATATAGATATATCTTACATTTTGAAATATAACTAGATTATTTATAAATAAATAAAATAAATTTTAATTTTTTACACTACAATTAATTCATTCATAAATATTTCAATATCATAAATTGTTTTTGTGCCTTTAGTCTTGTCACCAATATATTATATAATTGTTCTTATTTTAAAAGTATCCATAACACGTCATCTTAATATATTAGCATAACACAATTTAAAATTAACACTTTACCCCAGATCTGATTAAAATTCTCTACTTAAGTAATAAATCATTGAAATACAGTATATAAGTATTATAATGCTATTTTGTTAAATTTCTGTAATATTTTTATAAATATAATTAAAAAATAAATAAATGCCACAGTTTAAATTTATGAATCATGGGTTTTTAAGAAAAAAATAAAATAACTCGGCTTGTCTGCATTTTACAGTTAACAATTATACAATTTATTTGATTTTGTAAGTATTATGAATCAAACTCGTTTA